TGCATGATTCTGCCTCATGCCCCACTGATATTAGTAATGAGTTAGGGTCGTCAAGTTTATTGTTATTTCTACGGCCTGCATGATTCTGCCTCATGCCCCACTGGTCATAGCAATAGATGAGATCTAACATGTTCATTAGATTTATCTTTATCAAACGGTCAAATGGCATTGAATTGTTTCTTTATATAAAAGGGGTTTGGTTACTTGTAATCATTGGCTCAGCATGGACCGATTATTGTTGATATCTTATTGCCATTGATTCATATTTGCTCAAATAACGATATTTATCCTGAATGATAACCGATTCTTCTTACACACCCCCATGAGCTTTAACTGATTTATTCTCATGAATATGCTGGAATCGGCTATTTAGTCGATCTCCTTTCATATCGGCTTTCATAGCCGCACATTCGGGACTGTCTGGCAACACCGGCAAGTTCCACCCTTAATTACTGATGAACTTTCTCTCCTTATCAATTGTAGCGTCAAATTGACTGGCATGCCTCGGGAGGAACGCGTAGGATCGACCATCCCTGCGCTGAAGCTAGGCGGATCTGCTCCATCGAGCGGACCCTTCCGGCTTGCTACGTGTGTCCTCGGCACGGGATGAAAATTCCGTGTCGACACAGTGTAATCTGTCCCAAGGGTAGAGACACCTTCCCTAGAACGATTCCCTAGAATGGAGAGTCCATGGGGGTGAGGTTTTCCATCTTGAGCCCTAGCTCCTCCAGAGATCTAGCGAAGAGGATGATCTAGGGCGAGTGGAAACGCCCTGGGTATGGGATGTCCGACCACTGATCGGCCCTAGAGAAGGTGATCGGGTGCTCCGACTAGTTGAGGTACTTGGGATCAGCGACGGGGCCATCATATGTAGCAACCGACATGACGCGTCGAGCTACAAGCTTCTGCTCCCACTTGTCTTCAGAGACAGCTCTCCCACCAAAGATGGTGGCGACGATCTTGGTGGGGTCCTAGTTGGTGGGGCCCTTATTCTTGCCTCGTTCTCCCCATTGACCATCTTCGGTCTCATCATCGTCACGCCGTGGCTTCTTCGATGATTCGCCACCGAGCGCTGTCTTTCGGCCTCTGCACTCTTGCATGGTGTGCTTGGCATCCTTGTGGATAGGGCATGGGCCGTCCAGTAGCTTGCCGAAGTCAGCGTCGTAGGTGCGCTTGGCACGGGTATTGATAGTGTTGATTGAGCTATCAGGGCAGCAATGTCAGCCTTGTCTACCTCTCGAGCTATCCGGGCGGTCGTCACGCTGGGGCTCGCGGTCATGTTGGCGGTGGCCACGATCGTCGCGACGGTCTTGATCATCACAGCGGTGGTCATGGTCATCGTAGTGCCTATCTTCATGACGGTCATCGTCATGGCGCTGGTGGTGAGCGAAGCGGGTAGACCATTGGCTTCTTCAACGTCGGCGTATCCATTTGCTGTTTCTAGACTGGTTAAGCATGATGGGAAGATAGTTCGCCATTACGTCTTTGTCTCTCGCCATGGCTTTCACGACAATCTCGTATAGAGTTAACCACTGAGCGGGGTTGGCCTTTTCATCATAGGTGTTAACACCAATAACCTTGAAACCCACATGCCACCGAACGGCACGGAGCCTTTCTGTAAAGGGGTGAAGTCCTGATGCGCCGGCAAGGAGTGGTGCTTGGCGGGCAGCAAATCCCTCATGTCCGGCGTCAAACCGTCGGTGATGCTCCATCTCTGCTTCTGTAGCATGCGGACCTACTGTTTTCGATGTGGCCACAAACATCTACACTGGCATTGATGTGGTCACGAAGGTCGCAAGGGAGGGGTTGATTGACCTCCTGGTTACGGTTACCGCCCCAACCTCCCTAGGGGCATGGAGGGCGGGCGTCATGGCGTGAATGAGCTTCATAGTTGCCTCTGGATCCTCTATAGAGGTAGGGGCCTTCGACCATAGTTTGGGGCCATCGGCACCATGATGCTGGCCTCCTCCGTCACGGTGAGAGCGACGGCTATGAGCTGACGTGGTGGAATAAGACGGGGCGTCGTTCTGAAACTTGTTGACTTGGACTTGTGCAGCTATGATATGTGCTCTGACCTTCTCGACCTCTAGAGTATGAGGGAGTTTGTCGAGCTCATTGAAAGCGATGGCTAGATTGGCGCTCGGAGTCTGGTAGACTTGCTGGTCGCCCACCATGTTGAATGCTTCTTCTAGATTACGTTGATGGTGGGGCGGGCCGCGACCATCCACGTCGGCCCTTTGGGTTGCTTCTGCATCTTAGCGGCGTTGGCGATCGGTGTTCTTCGCTAGACGAGCTTCGCGCTCTTTCAGCGGTCTCGCTGTCCTTGGTGATGCTATCATGGCTAACGTGAAAAATCACGCCCCGAACCCCGGAAGGACAGCAAGGTAGCTTGATACGATCTTGGTTGAGCCTTCGGAATAATCGTCGGGGCTATCGTTTAGAACGTTGTGGAGAGATTCGATCAGAAGAGGGCAATCATCCGAGAGCTGGCGAATAGCCACCATGTTGACCATGGGCGTAGGCTGACCAGAGTCAGACAAGATCATGTAGAGGTCGGAGACGTGGTCGCGCTCGACGTGGTTCACGAAGAGGTGTTGGATGACGTTCTGGTATGCAGATCCCACACCCTCTAGCCCGAAGGGATAGGGCCTCGGTGGGTTCTCCATCGGGGCCTCGTAGTCAGTCAAGCATAGGCCGGTAGCAGGAAGTGGTCGGCGTCGCGCCGTGCGCCCCTCTGGAGCAGCCGTGATCACCAGATCGAAATCTGGCCACCTCGAACGGTGTAGCCGAACAAGTCGCTCGACCGTAGCGGCTTGGTGATCTTGGAGTGCAGGAAGATCGTCACTCGCTCTGGATTGATCTAAGACCGAATCCACGAGGAGCTGACATTCTGCTAAGCGGTCAGTGACCCGATCGATGGATGCGATCAGATCATCACTGCTGATAGATCTTCTAACCCAGCGGCGGGGCACCGGGATCGAAGATGTCGTTGCAGGTGTTGGCACGATTGGCGCTGGGTGATCCTGCACCGCCTCCATGATCCTCCCATTGCCGTCAGGACCGATGACCCAGGTCACGGATCCGACAGTGAAGATCTGGCCCGGCTCGGGAAGGGCCATGGAGCTTAGAAAGGTGACCATTTGGTTCGTCATGAATTCAGCACGCACACCCATACCTGACGCGTCACTGTCGATGAAATCTGGTCGGCAGTCTACCGAGGGGTATGCCCACGGTAGTAGATGAATCGATGGAGGTACGCGTAAGAAAACCGAATGGTGACACAGAACGCAAGAGACAGGGATTAGGCATGTTCAGGCAGTCAGCTTGACGTAATACCCTACGTCATGTGTCTTTGTGGATTGTATTGCGTATAATCAGATGAAAACGAGAGGGTCCCTACCCGCCTTATATAGCCTGGGGTAGAGTTACAGATCGGTTGTTTCTATCCTGGTCGTCTTACAAGATAGGAAGTTACACATATTTATGTAATCTAGCATATCCGAGCAGATTTTCTAGATCACCGAGGATCTTTACGCAGTCCTGCGAGGCACGCCGACCTGCGCCGTACTTCACGCGGCGTCGTGTTGTAAGCTAGGCCTCGACTAGTGGCGTGACCCATACACGGTCTTGTGGGTTGGGCCTCCCCTAACAACTCGGCCCATGTATAGCCCTGCGGGTATCCGGGGTCATACCCCGCAGTGAGCAAGATGCGCAAAGAGAGGAGAGTGAAAAAATAATAGCTCACTCTATTATGCGTGAGAGAACACAACAGCTTGAGGACAATAATGCCTGACCATGAGTCAAACGGAATGGTAGTAACGTTGCCCGTAAGAATGCATGAACTATGGCGTTGACTTCATTGATCTGTTTTGAATTACATGCTGTTAAATTTATCTTAAGTTGGACTTCATTAATTCCCGATTATGTTTACAGAAAAATGCACCTATAATATCAAATTAGTTTTCATCCTATCCACTATGAAATATGTACTTCATCTGTTCAAATTGTAAGACGTTTTGATTTTTTTACATACATTGCCTTCATTATGCATCTAGACATAGTGTATATTTAAGTGCATAGTAAAATCAATATATTTAGAAAAGTCAAAACATCTTACAATTGGAAATGAAGAGAGTATTTGACAGTAGATTTGTTTGTAGATGCTAATATATTTTTTATATGAATTTGATCAAAATTACAGGAGTTGACTTAGGGCCAAACCAAAAGAATATCTATTTTGGAGAACGGGAGCCATAGGAAATAGCAAGTCCCTAAAAAGACATATCAGGATGCATGATGTATATATTCAGCATTTCAACATTATTAAGGTACTACTCCACTACAAGATACTGCCGACGAGCTGTGTAGTGCGCGACGCACGCAACTCTTTAGCTTCTTGGAATGGTCGATCGAAATGATGCTACTACTAGCTGCTAATTAACTTGGGGTCCGGTGGCGAGGGTGGGCACTGGGCATGCGTGGCGCGTAAACCGCGCACGTCGACGGTGGAAGGGGGCAAGGGGCGACGTGTAACGTGTTTTTAGTGCGTGCGCGCGCGGCACCGGACCATGATCCAACGCGCCAACGCGGTGTGCTACGTACGGGTTTTCCATACATCGCGCCCAATCCGATCTCCGTATGAAGCTAGGCGCGGCGGCCGGGCGCAGGAGATCGAGAGCGAGGCAGCTGGCAGATCAGAGAAGAAGCTACCCCGGCAGCAGTGCCGATCGACTGCTTCCCCCAACGTGCCTTTCCGGCCTCTACGCCATAAAACCAAATTCAAGTTCCAATACGCGCACGCACCCAAAACATTTTACGTCCGATGATCATCATCACGGCCTCATGCATCCACGCATTTTACGTCAGATGGACGCAATGCGACATCCTTTTCCTGCACTACTTATAACGACGACAGTAGAAGAACTCGTCCCGGTAACGGCCACAACGACAGAAACTAAAGCTTCACGCTCGCTCGTCACTACATCTATAGCCACCTCACCATGAGATCGCCGGTGCTGCCCCTGCTCGCCGCCGCGCTCCTCGTCGCGTCGTCGTCGGCGCAGGCCGCGTGGGTGCCCGTCCTGGACGTGAACGAGCTGGTGATCAAGCAGGTGGCGCAGTTCGCGGTGCTGGTGTACGGGCTGGCGCACCACAGGGACCTGGCGTACGTGGGCGTGGTGCGGGGGCAGACGGAGCAGGCCGTGGGCGGCGGCACCAACTTCCGCCTCGTGGTGGTCGCCGCAAGGCCCGACGACGGCGGGAGCACCGCGCAGTACGACTGCCAGGTGTGGGGCGTGCCGGGGTCGCGCTCCGACACCTGGAAGCTCCGCAGGTTCAGGAAGATCCAGAGCTAGCTGCTGAAGGCGCGAGGCGCTGTCGCGCGCGTCGATGCAATGCAACTTACTGGATCCATTTGGCCATCCGGGAGCATGGTTCTGTTCGCTCGTTACACGCGTCGTACTATTTTAACGAATAAATATATTTTTTTTTTACAATAAATCAGCGAATAGTACTTTCAGCAAAGCGAACGAGGCCTATGTAGCTAAGTAATAGTACGTTCCATTTTTCTCATTTACGCCTTGCAAGCATCAGCAATAAGGTACTCCTTCTGTTCATGAAAACATACAACTATGGGTTATATATCATAAAAAATTATTCAAATTTAACCAGGTTTCTAGTGAATAGTATTTATATTTATGACCCTAAATTAATTTATTATGAAAATACATTTCATAATTAATCAAATGATATTTATTTGATATCACAAATATTGATGTTTTTTTATCTATAATTAGTCAGATTTAAGATACTAAAACGTAATATTATACTAGAATTGCATGTTTTTCTGGACGGAGGGAGTACTATTTCAATGATCAACTGTAGCTCGTGTCATCATCCTCATTTAGCTGCAGGAGCCATGTATGATTATCTGAGTTTTGTGTGTTACTCCAATTATTATGTAACTCAACCAGCATTGTTCAAGCTCTATATATATTCGGTATGTAACGCTGTTTCATGCTGCGTATGTGCTGCCTGCTTTGTAGTTGTAGGCAAAATGTGTCTCAGTACCTACGAACGCACGTCCAGCTCTGTTTCTGAGTATGTGGTGCCTGAACCCAATCTTTGCTGCAGCTGGCTGTGGCATCAGGCCGGGCGCCCATGCCAATTGGGCTAAAAGCCCAAAACATTTTCCGACGCATGCCATTGGGGCTGGTGCTCAAGTGCATCACAGGAATTTCTCAAAAAAAAAGCGCATCACAGGAGGTGCGTAACCTGTGGGCCGGCCCAGTATCAAAGTTCAGCCTCAGTGCAGCCCATGTTTCATTGCAGAAAGCCACTGTAGTACTCCTAAGAAAAACTTGAGCACCTCGCTTGTTAATTTAATTTATTTGATTTCACTATTCTTTTTTTATATAAAAATATATGAAAAAAACTAGCAACTGCTTCCTCAGGTAAACATGCTCGATCCGAGTCTGAGGCGGTGAGGCTCCGGCCGCTTCAGAACTGACAGAACACCGATGTGCACCGGGCCTAGAAGGTTGACAGCAATTGCGAATAGAGTAGCATCTCTCAAGACAACAAAATCAAGCAGAGAGATTCAGCTTCACCGAGCAGTTCACCTTGAGGTGATCGACCGACCCCCTCTGGATATTGGCCTTGGGTTAACGGCTCCACCACCAATTCGGAGATTCATTTGATCACAACCTGAATATCCAGATTGACAATTTTGAGCGTAAGAAATAGGGGTATCTATGTACTCATTCTGTTCTGAAAAAAAAACATTGCAGTTTTGTTTGAAGTCAATTCATCTCAAGTGCAATATTGATACCCATCTTAATAAATCTGGATAGTTTAATTTGCTAGCTGTCGATAGTTTAATTTGATACAATACAAAACTAGAATTATTTTATACTATTTGAGATGGAGGAAGTGCCTTGCAGGAAAAGGACGTACGCTTCATGCTGCCTCGCCCTCAAGCCAGCTGTTCAAACACTTTTTTTTTTAAGAGTAAAGTCCACTTTAGGACCTCCAACTATCACAGAAGTATGGATTTCAACCTCCAACTTTAAAACCGGATAACATTGGCCCTCCAACTCTCGAAAAAGTTCACTTTAGGACCTCGGCCGGTTTCTGGCGGTTTTGCATGGCATATAGCAGTCTTGACGTCGCGATGATGTCAAGACTTTTTTAATTTGCAAAATTGATATCTTTTATTCGGAGCTTCAAATATAACAAATAATATATCAATTTTGATCGTCTCGACGAGCTCTTTGCAATGGTGTACTCCGTTTTGTTGTTTGAGATAATTTTATTTCATGAAAAAATAAATATTTCTACAAAACAAGTTAGAATATGAGAACTCGTGGAATTTGTTAGATAAATAATATTTTTATTATTATGTAACACGAAATGTTGTCTTTTTAGGTTCATTTGACCATAGAATATATAAGTTTGACCATTTTTGAAATGCAATAATTCAAAACTTGTTTTGTAGAAATATTTCGCTTCGTGTCGCTTTGGGTCCGCAAATATATTTCGTAATAATTCAAAATATTTCGCAATAATTCAACAAGGGCGCCGTGTCCGTCGGTTCGGGCCGCACGACACGAAGCTTCGCTTGCCGTGTAGCCGCCACCTCGCGCGTCGGGCAAGCGCGAGGGCGACGAGGCGCACTAGCAACGCCGACGCCACGGAGATCCTCGCCGGACGACCTTTCATGGGGCACGCGCTCAACTTACCGATGCCGCACAAGATTCTAGACCACGAGTAAGCCACTCACTATTGTCGCTACTGCTCCCTCAATTCAATCTAGTTATCCAACGCCACTTCATGCGGTCATACTCATGCCATGCCACCAGAAGCAGACGTGTATCTGTCGGCCGAATGGTCGTCTAGTTCTGTGTCTTGCCAATAATAGTAGCCATAGGAAAGGAAAAAGGACAGTGTACATGAATCGACATCGATCGGATTTGGGTACAAGATAAATATAATACTACTACTACCACTAGCTACTTAATTTCACCACAAAACAGAAAAAAACTACACTAGGAGCGTAAACATATCGTTTGATCGTGTCATATGTTGATGATTAGTTAACCATGAGCTAGGGAAGGTTAATTCAAAAATATCTAAGCGATCGTAAGGTGTCCGATTGACCGTCCAACTCCCTGTTTTATATAATCGACTACGTTGGTGTTGTACATATATAAATATACAAAGTATATAAAATACTTGCATACGTCGACCTTAATTGCATAACTTGTTTTGTAGAAATATTTATTTTTTCATGAAATAAAATTATCTCAAACAACAAAACGGAGTACACCATTGCAAAGAGCTCGTCGAGACGATCAAAATTAATATATTATTTGCTATATTTGGAGCTCCGAATAAAAAGATATCAATTTTGCAAATTAAAGGAGTCTTTGACGTCATCGCGACGTCGCAAGATCGCCATCTGATGCCATGCAAAACCGCCTGGGAAACCGGCCAGGGTCCTAAAGTGACTTTTTCGAGAGTTGGAGGGCCAATGTTATCCGGTTTTGAAGTTGGAGGTTGAAATCCATACTTCTACGATAATTGGAGGTCCTAAAGTGGACTTTACCCTTTTTTTAACTAGCTGTTCAAATACGTGGGTTTAGGCTAAACCCGTGGTCTTGAAAAGAAGGAAAAAGACTTGGTCAGCGACTCTGTGAACGCGTTGATCGATAGGACAGCCCTGCTCTGGCTCTGTCTCACGGTCTCCGTGCAGCAGCGTCAACAAACGCGGCGGAGACTCCATGGTCGACGGACGTTCTTGGCATATTTGACTCTGCGCCTCTGCCCTCTACACTGTCCAAAGCCTACTAATGCTCAAATGCCTACCACCAGACTTCGCCGTACTCATTCTCGTCCAAGCTTCCCGTGTCCTCTTCCATTCCATGTAAGTCTGTTTTGAACTCAAGCTAGCAGGTGAAACGCCGGCCGACAAAGATCGATGTCGAACGCTGCCATCGGTGAGTAAGAAGCTGTCCATGCGACGTCTCTTGCCGGATGACAGATAATGCTTAGATCCCTCTCTGTCTGACCTCCTTTCGATCGCCTCTCTTTCAGCGATTGGCACCATCATATTCGTCATTATCGTCGCCGCGATAATTGTCTGCGCCTACAGACGGGCCGAGGCATGCGCCGGCGGCGTCGCGAGGAGCTACGCGGTGGTGTCGGACCAGCAGATCCGGCACGCCACCATCGAGAAATTCCTCTTGGAGATCAGGCACGAGAAGCCCTTCAGGTTCACGTCGCTGCAGCTCGCCGGCTTCACGGGCAACTACACGACCCGGCTCGGCGCTGGCGGCTTCGGCACGGTGTACAAGGGCGTGCTCCCCAACGGCCTCCCCGTGGCGGTCAAGGTCTTCGACCGCAGCCTCGCCCAGAGGTCCCAGGAGGAGCAGTTCATGGCGGAGGTGGGAACCATCGGGCGCACGTACCACATCAACCTCGTCAGGCTCTTCGGCTTCTGCTTTGACAACGTCGTGCGCGCGCTGGTGTACGAGTACATGGACAACGGCGCGCTCGACGCTTACCTCCTGGGCGGCCGGGGCCGCGGCGTCGGCCTCCCGGCGCTGCGCGACATCGCCGTCGGCGTCGCCAGGGGCATCCGGTACCTGCACGAGGAGTGCCAGCAGAAGATCGTGCACTACGACATCAAGCCCGGGAACGTGCTCCTCGACGGCGCGCTGACGCCCAAGGTCGCCGACTTCGGGCTCGCGCGGCTGGTGAACCGCGCGGACACGCACGTGTCCGTGTCCTGCGTGCGTGGCACCCCGGGATTCGCCGCGCCGGAGATGTGGATGCTGTCGGGCGTCACGGAAAAGTGCGACGTGTACAGCTTCGGCATGCTCCTGCTCGAGATCGTCGGGCGGCGGAGGAACTTCGACGAGGCGGCGCCCGAGAGCCAGCAGTGGTTCCCCACTCTGGCGTGGACCAAGTACGAGACCGGCGAGCTCGTGGACCTCGTCGCGTGCAGCAGCGGCGAGGCTGGTGATGCGGCCGCCGCGCCGGGTGACGACGACCATGAGCTGCAACGCGATAAAGAGATAGTGGAGAGGATGTGCAAGGTTGCGTTCTGGTGCGTGCAGCAGCAGCCGGAAGCGAGGCCGCCCATGGGTGCGGTGGTGAAGATGCTAGAGGGCGAGATGACCATCGCTGCTCCTGTGAATCCGTTCCAGCATCTAATGGCGACGCCGGTGACGGCGAACCCGTGGACGACGATGACGAGTAGCGCGAACGCGGAGTCAGCAACTGGCATTTCTGAGACTAGCAACGAGATCGTCTCGCTTTGACAATTGGCTGCAACTGAAAATGGGAAGGACATGGTCAAAGGCTCTCTTCGTTTGGCTTATCAGCCGTACTTTTTCAGGTTTAGCGAAGTAACAGTGTTTTTCTCTTATAAAAAAAATCAGTGAACAATACTTTTCGGCCTGACTTTTCAGCAAAGCAAACGGGGCAGTCCACCTGCACCGTTCTCCCTCAGTTTTTTTGCTGATGGTGCTCGTGAACTTAACTCTTGTGAAGCTCTAAAGGCCTTTGCTGCGTTGCGTTGAGCTCTCAAGTCTGAACTATGAAGAATTGTTCGTTGCTATATTATGAAAAAAAATCAACACAATAAATAAATAAATAGACTATGAAAAAAAACATTAATTTAGTTTCGGGTTCAGAACGGCCTGTTTTTCATTTGGATTCGTCCATTCATTCGTTCATCTCCTCCTTCTCGCCAGCAACCGCGCGAGGGTTCCACTTCCTTTTCGCTCCAAATGCGTTGTCGGCTAATATGCTGCTCAGTTTTTTTTGAAGTGTCTATATAACATCCGGCTGTTTCGGTAAAACAAAACAACCGGCTATTTCAAGAGAAAGAAACAGCCGGATGATATTGAAAAAAATCTGGCTGTTTTGTTTCAGTAAAATAGCCAGGATTTGACATCCATTAGCATCAAAGGGCAGTAAAAAAAAGGAAATTAAATCCAAATTGGTAGCAGTGAACAAAGAAAAAGAAAAGAAATACAGTGACATTTTATACAAATATGTAGTTCAGTCAGATATCATGAAAAAAGTGACATAAAGAACAGACTCACATATGGAATTTGGAAAAATAGCTATCCATTGTGTTAATAAATGAACAGTGATAGCTGCTCTCAGAGTCTCAGTAGAGGGGGTAGTGTTCTGCTGTCATTGTGGTCCCTCCAAGATACCGATCAAAATTGGTTAAGCATCTGAATCTCACAGAGGAGGGGCCTTTCTCCTTTCATTTCCACTATGGTTTTCTCTGCTAGGAACCTTAGTGCATTGAGATCCTACACAAAGAGAGGTAACACGCTTGGTTATAAAAAGATACATTCAATCATACTAATTAGCTATGGAACAATTCAGACAATACACAAGGGCAATAAATGAGGATAAAAACCCTTTGTTTAAGAAACAAAACATTATAGCTAACATTGGTCAAGATTACTAAATAACTCGGATAAAGAAACTGAACTTAAACCTGATTATGAAACTGAACCTGAACCTTTAATCAATAGAATGCAGTGAAACTAATAATATGCACTAAGCCTGAACCTGAGACATAAACCTAATTTCAAATCAGGTTTAGGTTCAAAAATACACTAATGAGCTATTTATTCCAACATCTGAGTTTATATCAGTATATACAATTTAACATTTTTTAATGAGTTTCACATACTTCCAAAAAACTAAACAAAAGCTTAAACTCAACTCAACTGCTGACCAAAAAACTGAACTCAAAAAAGAAAAAAAAGAATAACCTTATGAAACAAATGCAGCTTATTAGAGTAGAATTTGCAGTAAGGAAATTATGTAATTGAAGATTGACTAGACATGTAACAGAACAAACATAACTGTTATTGAAGATTGACTAGACATAAAACTGAACTGACATAACTGTCATTGAAGATTGACTAGACATATAACTGAAATGACATAACTGTAATTGAAGATTGAAATGAACTAGTAGACATTAAACTAAAGAGAGAATGAAAATGAACTGACATGATTGTAATTGAGATGAACAGAATAACTAAAAAGCTCTAAATAAATATAACCTGAACTAAGAATGAAACTAAGAAATAAAGTAATAATGAAACTAAGACCCAAAAGACAACTGAAACTAACCCCAACCCACTTAATATCCCCCAACCCCTCCCCACATGGCAATGACTCTCGATTCGAACTCATTTCAGATTTCAGATTAAACAACACGAGAAAAAAAACAAATACTGGGGAACATGGAAAACAACAACGAATCAAACAATAGACTAAAACTATGAATGAAGCAACAACTCAATAAAGCTGAAAGCATTGAACACAATTTCCTAAATTTAATTAAACCGACTAGGACCTGAATCTTTCCTAAATTTGAATAAACCGACTATTAACCTTGAATCTTACAATAACAAAAACTAAATAAACTTACTATGACTACAAATGACTAAGACTAAAAACTAAAATGAACAAAAAAAACTGAATCCAACATTAGAACTTCTCGGTGAACACTAAATAACCTCTTTGAAACTAAATAACTTTGAACTCTACAAGACTGACTAGAACTGAATCTTACTAAAACAGAAACTAAATAAAATGACTATGACTACAAATGACTATAACCTGAACAAAAAAATTGCAATAGTTCACACTGGTAGACTCTGAAGAAAACTAAAACTAAATCTAAAACTCAAACTATGCAGGATCAGAAACTAACTAAAACTCTACAATGAAATAAAACATCACTATTTCGAAAGATTTACACTTGAACTAAACATAGAATGTCTTGGAAGATTCAAAACCACCTGGACATGACTAACAATTCACTAGAACTAAACAAATAGTCAGCAAATCAACTTGAGCATATATAAACTATTCACTTGAACTCGAACAACCTGAACATGTAACAAAGGAGATCGATCTAGCTCCTTGGTCACGAAAAACAGAGAGAGAGGAGAGGGCAACGAACGGACTGCTTCAGACAAAAGATCAGGCCACCAGGCCTAGTGGTGCTTGGGCGCTGGAGGCGTGGGCTCCTGCTGTCTGCGACTCCTGGAGCCAGCGCTGGGACACCATGCGCCCCGTCCGGTGGTAAGCGGTGACGGACGGAGCAGGCTGTGGTCCGCCGGGACGCGCACGCCCGTCACGGTGAGCAGCGACGGAGGCAGCAGCCAGGTGGCTAAGGGATCTTACACGCGACAGCGCGGACTCTCTCAAATCAACAGAGGCCGACGACGACTACTCCCTCCAATTGACGGCAGCTGCAACCCTCCCTGCGTCAGACTAGATCCACCGGCGCACAACGGGTGCGACAGTGGCGGGGATTTCTTCGGTACCAGCGAAATCCTCGAGAGACGACAGATACAAACAGCAGTGACGCCAAAAGGAAACATGGGAAGGGGAACAAAGGAACTTAGCTCGCGAAACCCTTGATAAGCGCCGACCGCCGCACCGAGAGCCGCCATGAAGTCGCCTCAACTCGATTCGGTGGGGGAGAATCGAAAATGGGGAATCGGAAGCGGGAAATGGCCGAGAAAATTCGGGCGCCACTACCAAGAAAGTAAAAAAAACCACGCGCTGGCCCACAGTCAGAAACTGAAGACGACGACGGAGCTAGGTGCCGCGCGCTAAGATGGATCGGACGATCGAAATGAAGACACACAAACAAAACGAACGGCCACAAAACCGGCTATTTTGAGCAAATGAAACAACCGGCTAACGTATAGCATTTCTCTTTTTTTTTTGGGATTTCCCTCCCAAACTCAGACGACCTTGTTCGTGCATTTCTCACCTCCAATTTTTTTTTCAAAAAAAAAACATGACATAACAAAAGTCATTCAGATCGCGTGCCTGTGCTTCAACGACAGGTTCTGTTGGCTCTTCCTAAGCTAGACAATCGAGCTCGCCGCTCTGATTACTTGCCGTGTCCTGAAGCCATGTCAACAACACGCGTATGCGATTCAAGCCCTGTTTAACGCCTGCCAGCCTGCCCTGCCACCGATTTCCTCCATTCATTCATACCATCAGCCTGTTCGCTTGATCGTAAACGATCGTAAATTTTCAGCTGGGAACAGTGTTTTTCTCTCACACCAAACCAGCCAACAGTAAATAATCAACGATACGATACGGCCTCCCGAACAGGCTGCATAAGCGTACTACTCCGACCCTTGATTTAATTTAGTTTTATTTTCCGCAATTTTCCACGCCATGTACGGACCTTTGCAGCTCCGTATCTCGACTTGACCACCCTCAACCAGGCGACTTGTTCGTTACACGGCTACTCCTCTGCAATAGGCGCCATTAGTCCTCTGCAATAAAAACCATTAGTCCTCTGCAATAGGCAAATCGCCTCCGCGCGCCATCTCTCTGCAGCTGCACCTGCATGTATTAATAGACTGCGGTGTACTCGTACACGCCAGGCACTTTACCCCGGAGCTACGTCACAGCTCATTCGTTCTATCGCTAGTCCAGATATCGCATCATGTATAATAATGGCTCTGTCGTGGCATATATAACGTTTCTGGTGCTGCATGTATCTCACCCCCACCTGCAGTTGATGCCTACCGCCGGTCGGCTCCGATTCTTCTCGGCCAGAAGGCATACAGCACCAAATGTCTCATCCGCCACACGCCGGCCATCAACGAGGGCAGCAATGAGACCACGGCCACAGCGAAAGCGAAGAGTGGCCGTACCGTCGTGGTCTCCTTCTGGGTGGCTGATCCGCCTGACGTGTCTTTCTTCTCGGTGGTCTCCCGCAAGCCTCCTTTGTTAGTTGCTCAGGATCATCTAGTGTAGATTAGAGGGTGAAACTGTTACCGTTTGATTCAAATTCGACCTATAACATGATACAGAGAGGGAGACAGTGAGAGAAGGAGATGTAGGAGTGGCTGACCGTCGGCTTTGGAGGAGGATGAGCCGCCCATGTCGATGTCCAGTCGGTGGCGTCGTCCGGTGGCGATGGATCCGTTGGGGGGGGGGGGTTTGGGTAGAAGACGCAGTGGAGTCCGGCGTGGTGGCACTTGCGGAGGCGTCGGGGTAGAAGACATAGTGGAGTCCGGCGTTGTGGCACTTCCCGTCGATTCAGCACTCCCTTGATCGGTAGGGTTAGGACAGTAAGTGGGGATCATGGCGGCTGTCGTGAACCTTGTGTCTGCGCCCTGGCCCCCACCTCCCTTTATATTGTGCTGCGCGACGGGGGCCCACCAACCTTGGTTTAGTTGGATGCCTCCGATCAAGGCACTGGATCAAGGCCCGACTCGACCGTTGGGCTGAGTCGGATGAGATC